TGATAAAATGCATTTATAAAGAAGAGCATCGATGAAGCAGCTCATCGCAACACAGTAGGCATTAACATTTATTTAATCCCTCCATGTTTCGATACATTGAAGAAAATAATTATTCTTAAAACGCTACAATATCTATTATTGAAATAGTTGAAGTAAATAAAAAAGTTTTACATTTATAATGATGTGTGCGCTATTAAAAAAAAAAAAAAAAAAGAAAAAAAAAGCACTCCCTTAAAAAGAACATTACAATAATAATAGCTTTCCAAAAGAATGTACATTACATAAATAATGTAATAATGGCGGTGGGAGTACGTATCGTAGTAATAACAGCAGCAGAAGCAAGAAGAGTAGTACAATATTAACAACATAACGACAACGATGACAATGTTTTTGTTTAAGAATAATTGCTTATAATAGCGCTATTGACAATTGCAATACACTAACTGCAGGTGGTTGAGCTTGAGATTTAATCGTTCAAAACACGATTATTAAAGTTGATGGCGTTGAATCTTGATGAATGGATGGATAGATGAATGGATGGATGGATGGACGGATGGATGGATGGATGGATGGATGGATGGATGGATGGATGGATGGATGGATGGATGGATGGATGGATGGATGGATGGATGGATGGATGGATGGATGGATGGATGGATGGATGGATGGATGGATGGATGGATGGATGGATGGATGGATGGATGGATGGGTGGATGGATGGATGGATGGATGGGACGGATGGACGTGCACGTTGATTCATCCCCAAGTGGCAAATATAGCTTGCATTTATAAAATTCACTGAAATGACAAAGGGATTGTGCTTATAATTTGATATTATCGATTAAGCGCAAGCGATCACGTATGTAATGTAAATGAGAGAGAGAGAGAGAGAGAGAGAGAGAGAGAGAGAGAGAGAGAGGTGGGGAAGGTGTTTCGAGTACTTACGCACGACGAAGCAAAGTCGTGCGCTCGATAAACGAGATAAACGATAAACGATAAACGTCCGTTTCATTTGGATGCATTCGCTGTTGCCAGAGCCGCGCTCAATCGAGCAAATAACATGTTCTTTCAAACGCATTAGTATTGTTTCGTGACTCTAAACCTCTCCAGACCTCCCCCGCCGAGCTTCAAAATCACAAACCATAAAGCTATAAAATTACGTAAGTCGCAGGGTTAATTAAGCGCTACTACATACATGCATGCATACATACATACATACATGCATACATGCATACATGCATACATGCATACATGCATACATGCATACATACATACATGCATACATACGTACGGGCGCTCGAATTTTTAATCCAAGTGCGGGCGCTCGTAATTCGGTGAAAAGCGAGGGTGTGCCGCGGCGAGGAGGGAGCGCAGGCAGCAGCGTAAAGAGCATTTGTCCGTCATTCGTCGTGTCTCGGCAGTTGGAGCTCGGCATCCCGTGGCAGCGCTCGAAGAGGTCCGAGAGGTCCCGCGCAGGTCAAGAAATGGCGCGCGCGCGACTAAAGTCGGTACGTCGACCAGCCAGCCGATAAGGCAGCCGCGTAAGAGGAACGGCTGGGCTCGGGTGCCAGCAGGGGAGCTTCAATGGCGAGGGGGCCAGGCGGCTCCATCTTCCAGACTCGTCGACACGAGCCATCGTCGCCTCGAGGATCGCGACGTGCGATCTAGTGTCGATAGCCGGGGGGAGGCGAGGGCGCGCGCGCCAGCCATACTTTTCGTGTTGCGCAGTTTGTTGTTGCCGTTGGGAGCGAAGACTCGGAGAGGCGTCGCGGCGATGCCTCCTCGATCACGATAAGCCCGAGGATGTGCCTACGGTTCCTCGTTATTACGAGGCCGCTTTGTCTCCCCGTTTGCTTGCTCGCGGCAAGCTTCGAAAGTGGAGGGAGGTGATTGCGCGCTCTTCTCTTATGCCTCTCTGCGTCGCTTGCCATTGTTTCGGTAAGTTGGCTCTTACGTTTGTTGTTCCGATGTTTTATCTGTCGCTGCCAGAGCCGTTGGAGATTCCTTTGCGATCGCCCGAGCAATTATGCGTCGTCGTTGGTGCGACCGTTTGACAATTTGCCCAATTACCGTGGGCTTGTAACAATTGCCCAATTACCGTGGGCTACTTGTATTCACTTCGGCTGAATTTACGAATTCGCTTTGATTATAAAAACGCGCTTTTCTACGCTGACAATATCTCGCTGACGTAAGTTGGTAGATTTCGTTAGTTGCGCCGATCATCGTAGCTATTGTCGTAAGATATTCAAATGCACTTTTCATTTAAGAATTAAGACTTTTTGCGATTAAGAGTTGCAGTTGATGCAATTGCTAGGCTTTTCACGATTTTGACATTTAGCCTTTAATAGGCGATTGTACCGACAAAGAATATAAATTGGTAAATTTAATTTGAGAATTTCAGTTGAATTTTGATCGATATTACTGTGATGACTGAAAATTTCGAATTTTATCGATGCCTATGACTTTGTTTGAATTTTGATGGGAACGAGTTTAGATAAAACTTTTATCAGTTTTCACAGTCGCGTCGTTGGATAAATTGTTAAAAATTGAATAGGTTCGGCGCTCTTAAAGCATAAATTAATTTTATCATGATACGTATTTCTGGAATTTGGGTTATTGATATATTGTTTCTTTGTTACAGTTTTGCAAATCTATCGATTACAAGTTCAAGCGTCAGAGCTAAAACTGATATTGATTTTTTTAAACAAAATGCCACTGGCTTAGTCTACATTTAATGTATATCAATCCGTCAGGTTTCGTTGCTTATCGAAATAATCAAGAGATACTTGAGTTTAATTGACTTTGTTCATCCTAGCTCATAAATAACGTTGTGCTACATAAGGATTATGGTCAGTCCAATCATACTTTTGAGCAAATATTTTAATCGCAATATTTAACAAATGTTTCGTTAAACGAATTGAGAAAGGAAAAAGGAGAAACGGAGAAAGGAGGTGGATAAATTATAAGCTCATCCGTAATTAGGGTTTTACATAATTCTGCATAGCGTACGGATGTAAGATGCTACGTAGTTTCATTATTATCGTATAAATTCAGCTGATACAGCAATTTCACTTAATACAGGCAAAGGTTTGGCTCAATGTTATAGATAAAATGGAATTGCGGTTGTATGGATATCAAAGTTAAATAAAAAAGACCAATTTATTTTTAGCGAATGCAAAGCATTCAAATGTAATAAGATAACTTATATAATAAGATGACTTTATAATATATTTACAAACACAATGAAATGTATAAAATTTGTAATCGTTGATAATTCATTGCAGAAAACAGTAGTTATACTCTGCAGAAATGAGTACGTTGGATCAGCATACCAGCAACCACTGCGTATGGAAACATCACGGAACAGATACACTGAGTCCCGCGATTATGGAAAGTCTCGATAGTCTGTCTCTCTGTAATCGAGATGTTAGCACTTCCCTCACCAACTCCCCGTTTCAAAGCAACCAATCGCTGAACGAAGTTTCATCTCTAAACGACCAAACTCCAAAGCTCTCGAGAGCACTAAATTCACACAAAAGCTTTCTATTGATCGATGGCAATGAATATTTAAAGGTAAATTGCTTTTAGAAAAGCCTAATATAATTAGGAAACTAAAATAGAAATTAACGCTTACTACAATCGTGGCATTAAACAATGATGCATTCGCTTTCCTCTGCTTTTATCAATTGTCAAGATATTGCTTGTAACATATTGCTAATGCAATGTGTTGAGAACAATTGGCACATCATATGCCGTATAATTATTGTATAATTGCACGCAAATTGCAAGCAATGAATTTCCCCATTATACCTAAATTGGCACAATAATAATATGCAATAATATTGGCATCTCAGAATTATTTTAAAAATTATAAATAATATGAAAAGTGCGCGGTTGAGAATGAATTTATGGGCAGTTGATTGAGCCTTGGGCAATTAACATTCGAAAGGGTCAAATCAATGTTTAATGTCACGCTGATCGCTACGTTATGTTCGACCCTATGAATATTCGAATTACTAAAGGCAGCGAAAATGTCGTTAAGGTGTTTAGCTTGGAGCAATTCATTCAGAAGCTGGGCTGCACAAAGAAGGACCTAAAAGTAAAGGTCGTCTCGATATTTGGCAACACGGGCGACGGCAAAAGCCACACGTTGAACCAGACCTTCTTTAACGGCCTCGAGGTCTTCAGAACGTCGAACGAGCAGAATTCCTGCACACTCGGCGTCTGGGTGGCATTCGATCCAATCCTCAATGTCATATGCGTGGACACGGAGGGACTGGTGGGCACGACGACCCACGAGAACGCGAGGACGCGGCTTCTGCTCAAGGTCCTCGCCATCTCGGACGTCGTCGTGTACGGTACGCGCTCCGAGCGGCTCCACAGAGATATGTTCACGTTCCTGGGCTCGGCCTCCGAGACCTACAGCTATTATTTCCAGGCTGCCTTGCAAGCTATCGGCCAAAGGGAGGGGATCCTTAGCTCGGTAAATGCACTTGGGCCCAGCGTCATTATCTTTCACGAGACGAGGCATACGAGACCTTTGACGAATAGTGAGTCTCGTTATCTTAAATTCTTTTTATTTAGAAAGTTCGAGGCTCCGTTATGTGCACAGATAAGGCCATTGCCTTAAAACGATAATTATAACCATTATTGTGTAGAGGAATGCATTCCGTGTCAAAATTCGTCTTTAAATTTTTAATAAATAAATCAAAAAAAAAAAAAAAAAAAAGAACAAAACAAAACAAATAACAAAAAACAATGAAGAAGATAAAACTTTGACCTACATTATTTAAGCAACGTTATTTAATATCAGGCAATTTTACAAATGTATCACGGTAATCTTGTATATTTAGTAGCTTTGCGCACGTTATGCACGCATCAATAGTATTAACATTCACTTGATAATGCAGCTTACGTAAAGACGAATGGACGACGATGTTTTTGTCAGCGTTTATTCTATCTAATGCCTTACTAATGTCGTACAATTGGCGTAAAATTTTATCCTACACTAATGAATGTTTCGATAATTTCAGGCGCATCGGAAAGTGCCGAGGACATTCTGCGCAATCGTTTCGCACAAACGGAACTCGAAATCGAAGCGTTCAGTTCCATTAAATACGTAGGTGTTCAGACCACCCAACCTCCAACCGATTATCAGCCGCTCCAAGCAGCCATTAGGAGCGAATTATGCAATACCGCTATCCGCTCGGCTAGAAAGCCGCATTTAGTTTATAGTACCTTGAAGGTTCTCAATCACAAGTTCTTCGGAGAAATTGAGAATGTCGCAAACATACTATTCCCAGATCAATATTTCACGTGCCCGGTGAAGTGTTTCAGTTGTGGCTGCAAATGCCAAAACAGCATGGGACATATTCGGGAAGGCAAGCCACATACAAGCGACGCAAGGTCATTCGCAATTACAATCGACTTAGCGCCTTGAATTTCAAATAGCGAATCATTGTACTTACCTTATGTTGTTTGTTTAACGTCGTAGGTGTCGTTATCAGCATCAGTATGAAAATTTGGTCTACATCTGTCAGAAATGCCATAGCAATGGTAACGAAGTTGTCGTTACGAGTCGCATTCAAACTCAAAACGACAATAGCTGGTACGGTCTGGCGAAATACGCCTGGTCGGGTTACGTCATCGAGTGCCCAAATTGTGGAGAAATTTATCGTAGTAGGCAGCATTGGTTTGGCAATAAAAATCCAGAAGATTCAGCGGTGAGAACCGAAATCACACACGTTTGGAATTTGGTAGGTAGTCGTAAGGTCGTAAAAATGTAAGGTCAATATGAATATGTATTATGTATTGTGCCTCGTTTATCCTCGATAAACGTGCTGTATTCTGCCAATTGACAAGATATAATTACGATTACGATAATAGCGGCGGGTGGATGGGTGGGCGGGTTGGTGGTGAAGAGGATGAAAGAAAAAAAAAATTAAAAGATATTTTTATCACAGACGAACGTCTCGCTATCCACGCAAAATACGGCCCAGCGTGTAGTCGACGGTGTCTCCTATATAAAGGAGGCCGTCGCGAGCATGTCCTTGCAGCCGACGAAGGCGCTGACCGCGTGGGTGGCGGACCAGGTCGCCCCCACGTATTGGCGTCCGAATAACGAGATACGCCAGTGCAACAAATGCAAGGTAGCGTTTCAGCCGACCGACGCGAAGCATCACTGCCGCTCCTGTGGCGAAGGATTTTGCTCCGGCTGTTCCTCCAGGACCAAGTGCGTGCCGATGCGCAACTGGCACACGCCCGTGCGCGTCTGCGACGACTGCTACGACCGAGACGCCAACTCCAACGAGGAGATCAAGCAGCTCGTGGCGGGGGATGACGTGAGCGTGCGGAAGGTCTCGGAGCAGGTTGTCAGTACGCTCAGCGCCGTTGGCACCGTACTCACCTATTCCAAGTGTGAGTCTCGAGCCTACCGACCTTACCTACTATCCTACTTTTGCCTCGTTAAAGCCACGGCTGGCCTTCGTCTGTTTGGTTTTCACGATAATTGAATGCCCGAGATAGGCGTAGAATTAATTATTAGGGCGCTGGTCTTGTATTTTGATTTCGTTTGGCTCACATTTTTATCTCACATTGTGGCCTGAATTTTCAGCT